AGGATTAAATTCTACAGTTATATAAAAAGTCCAACATACATCAGGAATTTATATACAATGATTTTCCCCTCAGTGGAGTGATTTTACCCTGTTGGGGAGGTGGGGGTTAAGAGGGCTAGGCGATAAAATAGAGAGATGAATGAAGTCAGATATAGTAGAAGCAAGGCTGTGGGGCAAAGGATGATCACCCAAGTTTTGGGAAACTGGAAGACACAGGAGAGAAAGAATGAAAGAGAAAGTGAAGGAGTATTGAAGTGAATCAGAAAGAGATGGTTGAGGAAAGAAAAAAGATGAGTAGAAGAAAACAAACAAAAAAAAAAAGGCAAGAAATCTAAGTAGTGCAAAAAAGAAAAAGAAAAAAAAACCCAAAGCAAAAACAAAACAAAAATAATCACAAAATACAAAACAAAACAAAACACTCAACCAGATAGAAAAAGTATAACCAATCAGACAAATAAAGAAAAATATAAGTAGCAAAATTCCTCTGATGTGCACAGTTCTGTGATAGTATCCAAATCAGATCCCAGAAATGTGCTGTGTACTTCAGCCAAGGTTGCTGTGGGATTTGTGCTGGGTATGGGGCTGATCTTGGCCTCTGGATGTAGGGGCTGGGACTGGCCTTATTTTGCTGGAGTTCTTCAGAGCCCTTGGATATAGAATGGCAGCCCTGCCCACTCGCTTCTATTGTGTGTGTTTGTGTGCCAGAGCACAATCTAGTTCACCTAACTTACCAACTGCTGGTTCCTCATTGCTGCTTCAGATTTTGCTGGTCCCGGCTGGGCCTGCATGTGCACCATACTGGGGCCTGATCTGGTCTCAATGGTCCCTTCTCAATTTAATTCTTAATCTGTTGGATATCTGTTCAAAATCTTTTCATGGACTGTAATTCTTTGCCAAGCTGATCATTCATGTTTTGTATTGTTTTGTTTAGCTTAACTAGCTTTTTATTAGTGTCTTATAAGCTCTCTGACCATTTTATTGTTTCCATTATCCATTTAGCTATATCTTCTGTCATCCTGCCAAGCACATCCTTGGTTTGTTTTTTAATTTTGTGTTATCCTTTTGAATAATTTGGGTGTGGCTTTTGCTATTCTCCCCCTTCCTACCCCCTAGATCAGCTTTAAGGGAACTGGAGGTTTTTGGGAGGCATTTCATTCCCTTCTCATGTTTCTATTTTGTTGTTGTTGTTGAGTTTTTCTTTTGTGCCGAGGTTTGTTGGCACTTAAACAAAGTGGGAAGACTTTGCTGCTAGTATGGAGATATCTCAGTCTGTTTTTCGGTGATGCACTTTGGATCTGACTAACTATAATCCTTTGTTTCTGCCTGATCTGACCACTTTAATGTGACTGTGGCAGGTACAGGGGAATTGGCTTCCATTTCTGTGGAAATACTGCACTGTTATTAATATCACAAAGGTACTCTGGGTGTTGGCCTAGAGAGGAAATCCATTAATAACAACAATTATGCAACCCTGAAAATATCAAGCAAATAAGCCACTGTAGTGGTGGGAGACAAATTGGGTATTGACATACTATAAGAATCCATAGTATACTTCCCTTAATCATAGAAAAGAAGTCCACAATTATAGTGTAAACAAAGACAAATGAGATACTGACATATAGCAGAAATGTTATGAATTTGACAACTGTACCTCCAATAGTGGTAGAAAATAATTCAGCAGGAATTATATATAGTTAACTAGTAAAGCTTAATGCTTACATTATTAAAAATAATTTGTAGGAAAATGGATATACTGTGGGACTATAATGTTAAGTGAAGCAAATCAGACACACAAACTTAAATATTAGATGATTTCTCTTATATGAGATACCCAATATATTAATAATGGACAAAATAAGAGGTAGATAATAGAAAGTAGGGAGATAGATCTTTCTCAGATGGGAAAGAGATCAAGAGATGGGGTGAGGAGGAAGAGGTAGAACAGGGGATGAAGAAAGGAATTAGAATGTGCTATCTATATGTATCAACTCCACACAAAGAATGTGAACATCATGTACTGCAAGCATGTACTAATAAAAGAAATGATGTGATAAGTTGGGAGCAGAAGAGTGAAAGAAGAAAAACTTGATTTTTTTTTTGGTACTGGGAATTGAACTCAGGACCTTGTGCTTGCCAGGCAGATGCTGTGTCACTTAGCTATATCCCCAGCCCAAGAAGAAAAATTTGAAAACTTAAACTATAAGAGATGAGAAGAAGAGAAAAATGAGGCAAAGGATCTCGTTAGGGAGTAAGAGGATATTTATAGAATAGACGATGGTAACAGAAAAACCAATGAGAAAAACGATGACAGAAAACATAGTAGAGAAAATAAAAATAAGAAAAAAAATTAAGTGGAAAGAAGAAAGAGGGAAGAAAGAAAAAAGAAAAAGAAGAAAGAAAAAAACAAAGAAAAGAAAACAATGTAAAGGGACAAAGGAAAATCCCCCAAATCTCAATAAATCAGTAAAGAAGGAGGAGGAAAGGAAAAAGTATGGACTCCCCCTTCCCTAATTTCTCTATATGAAATGAATGAGGTTTTTTTTTTTTTCTGGGATTCAGTTTCAGAGTCTAGCAATTCATGTTTTTCTCTGTATGAAATGAATGAGGTTTTTTTTTTCTGGGATTCAGTTTCAGAGTCTAGCAATTCATGTTTTTCTCTGTTTAACCTTTCTCTGCCTGACAGTGGTTTTCTCTGCCTGTGGTTTTTCAAGGTGCGTCTGTACTCCCACTCCAGAGGCCCCTTTGTTTACACAGACTGTGGCAATGTGTAAGCCTGTATATGTCCCTGCTCATCTGGTAGATAAGGAAGGAGGCAGTCAGACCCCAGATCTGTGCCAGATCCAGGTGGTAGGAAAGGGATTGAGTACTCAGTCTGACACTTTCAAACCCTGAGCAGCTCAAACCAGGACTGGCCTCCAGCTGTAGGCATATGGGAGAGGGGTGCCTTTCCCTTTCTGAGCTCAAATCCTTCGTGGGACCACTTTCTAGCTCTCTGAAGTTGTCTCTTATGGGTGTCTTTCACCCAGTCACTGTGGGAGAATAATGTTGGGAATCCTGAAGTGAAACTGTCCTGTTCTCAATCCCAGATTCACTGAGTCCTTTCCTGGAATGGTGTCCAACCCTGTACCTTCTCTAGGTTTATGATGGGTGTCGTTGTTGGAATCCCTGTTAAGCTGTTGCCTGTAGTGTTACAATACTTTTAGTATGTTTCTGGATTTACTTTGCTAGCTCTGTTGCAAAGTTCTGCATATTTATATTATTTAATAGTATTGGTAGATAGTTTTCTTGTCATATTCTGTCTGGCTTGATTATTAGCATAATGCTGATGTTACAGCATTATGTAACATCAGAATGAGTTAGGAACTCATCTCATATCTCCTATATGTTTTTTGAAGAGTTTGAAATGACTTCGTATAATTTGTCTTTATTTATCTTGAAGCAGGCTCTACCTGTGTTGCCTGTGTCATCTGGGTTGGTCTTGAACTCATGAGTCTCCTGCCTCAGCTTCCTGAGTAGCTGGAACAACAGGAATGTGCTGCAATGCCTGGCTTGATACTTCTTTAAATATTTGGTAGAATTTACCAGTGAACAGTTTGATCCTAGGCTTCTCTTTGTTGGGAAGTTTTTGAATATTGATGTAATCTCTTTAGTTGTTATAGGCCTACATTTATTTTCTCTCCTTGAGTCATTTTTACTGTTTTTTTATGTTTCCAGAAATTTGCTTGTTTTATTTAGATTTTCCAATTCGTTGGCATATAATTGTACACAGTATTTTTTTTTAAAAAGAGAAAAGAACAAAAACAAAATAACAAAAATAAAGACAAAAACAAAACACAAAAACTATAAAAATGATACAGAATTTCAAAACAAGATGATAGGAAATCAGCAATGTATATCAGCAAGTATAACAATATTACTTATTGTTATCTTCAAGTAATTGCTCAGATTTATAATTGTACACAGTATTTTTAAATCCTTTTTATTTTTGTAAAGTCATTAGTAATGTCCCCACTTACATTTCTATTTTTAGCAATTTGAATTTGATTCTTCTCTTTTCAATTTAGTAAGGCTAGCTATAAGTCTGTCAATTTTATTTTTTTCTGTTATTTATTACTATTTTATCATTTTCTTCCTTCTGCAAGTTTAGGGTTTAATTTTTTCTTTATTTTCTAATTCTGGCATAAAATTAGGTTATCCCAGATTTTTCTTCCTTTTTAATTTTATGTTTATGGCTATACATTTTTTTCTGAGCTCTGCTTGCACTATATCCCATAGGTTATTGCACATTGTTGTTTCTCTTTTCATTAATGTAAAACTTCTTTCTAATTTCTCTGCAATTTCTTCTTTGACCATTACTTGTTTAGGAATATGTTTTGTTTAATTTACACATATTTTTTAATGTTTCAGTTTTCCTTATATTGATACCTATTTTCAATCCATTATGTTATGACAACATATTCTGAATGATTTTAATCTTTTTAAATTTTCAAGATTTTTTTTTTGTTACATAACAGAGTCTATCTTGGGAAATATTCTGTGGATCCTTCATAAGACCATGGATTTTGTAATTGTTGAATGGAATGTTCTGTGGATGTTAAATCTAGTTGATATATAATGTTCAAGTCCTTTGTTTCTTCCCCCTTCTATCTAGTTGTTTACCCATTATTCAGAGTCAGGTTTTAAAGTCTCCAACTACTGTAGTGGACTGTCTTTTTGATTATTCAGTTCATTGAATTTTGCTTCATAGACTTTGGGGTGTGGCTTAGTGATAGAACATGTACTCAGCATGTGTGAAGTCCTGGGTTTGGTCCCCACTATACACATTGATATAATTGCTTCATATATTTGAGTGGTCTGTTGGTAAGTGTGTACCTGTTTAAAACTCCAATGCCTTCTTGGTGAATTGTCTCTTTTATCAAGATATAATGTCCTAATCTGAGCTTTTTGTAAGTGGATTTTATGAAATTACACAGAAAGATGTTTCTTTGACTCCTTTATAGATCACAGTTGGAGACATTGGAACACCCTTTAAAATGCGTATTGGACATACCAACTCTGGCCTGTCCCCTTCCTGGCACTGTAAAGAGGTAAGGATATATCAATGCTTCCTTTTTGTGCGTATGTGCAACGTTTTATGCAAATTTTTCTAAGACCTCAACTCTCAGGGAAGTACTTAATGGCTGTAATGAGTTGATGGAGTCAAACCTGGACCCTTTAAATCACTACATTTCTCATAGAAGCAGCATCATATGCCCTTTTCAATTAATTGATCCCTAATTGATTGAGAAAGCACCTCAGGTAAGGAATCCTTTCGCTTCTTTGCAAAGAAAAGAATTTCTTGGGACTCTGGATACGTTCACATAGCTTCTTGGTATACTTGCACTACTGATAAAAAAAAGGATTAGCTCTAGACCATATGCTTAAAATTGTTTATAAAGATACATCATTATGTTGCTGACATAATAATATCCTAGAGTTGAGTGTCAACAGTAGAAGTTAGTGTGTTCATGCTAACCAAAATAATAGCCCTTAATGTGTTTTTAGCAATGAAAAGAGAGTTGTAAATTTTTTATATTATGCAAAATAAGAAATTCTACTTATTACCATCATTGCCAGAAAATGTACCTCTCTAACATTGGAAATTAATACTTGTGTCATCTATTTTTGTGTATGGTATGTGTAAATCTTCCAATATGTCAAAGGAAATGTGTTTAACTAAACAAGTTCTCAAAGTGTGGAGAGCATCTAGTCATATTGTTGATATTCTTGGCCAGCTTACTCTTTCATAGTTTTATAATATATGAAAAAAATTAATGTAATTTTTCATCTTGGTGGAGGATGACTCAAAACAGACTTTAAAATTTCATTAGTGGAAGTATATAGTAGTTAATTGTAACACACGGTGCAAGGGGCAGAGACCACCAGACTTGTTGTGTAAAGGCAACACGGTGTGGAATCATTGTGCCTGGGTGCAGGTGGGCAAAAGGCGAGAAGACTGGGGAACAAAGAGAAGGGGGCCCATTTTATAAGGTTTGAAAGAAGGCAGGGGACATTAGGCAGAAAGATTTTCGTAAACATCTGTGGTCGAAGTTCTCTGGCTGTCATGCACCTCAGTGGGCGGAATCCTTGAAGCCCCCAGATGCCTAGGGGCCTGCAAACTTCCTTGTCCTATTTTATCTCCTTTGTGACCTCCTGTGCTTGCCTGTGACAGCTGTGGTGCCGAGCCAGATTCCCTGCTCAGAATAACATCTCTGCTGGCCAGCAGGTTGCGGGTGGGGAGTCAGGTCCGATTGGAGCCTTACATTAATAATCTTTCCTTTACATTAGATCACAAAGCATACTGGAGCAGAATAAAGTAATAAAATTCAATTTGTGAAAATACAGTATGTGAAAGTTAAATTTTAAAATTCAAAATTATTGCCTGGCATCTGTATAAAGTAGTATTCTCTTCTATGCCGTACTAGATGATTATATAGTAAGGTCTTTTCCCATTTGATCTCTCACTAAGCCGTGAAAATCACTAATGCTTCTGGTATGTCATTTGATTGATAACCATAAGCAATATTACATTCATTATTAAGATGGGATGCTGAGACACTATTACAGTGATTTAAAAAGATTATATACTGATACAGTAATCAGGCTGAAAATTACTATTGTCTTTTGCTCTGTGTCTTTTTCATTGCAAGGCAACTTGTTTGCCTGTTCACCTCTGTTTGAATGCTAGTGAAGAGACATGGTGTTTGTGTTTTTAGGGGGCTGAGGACTGAACCAGGGAACTAGGCATGCTAAGTATGCATTCTACCAGTGCTCTAACCCCAGCCCTGAGACACCTTCTTCAAAGTTCAATTCTGCGTATATAAAATCCTTACATAATTTATCCATTTGGCCCAATTAAGATGCTAGATAATGTGTTGGGGAATATTTTATTCAGTTGTCGTAATGTAGTTTAGAAGTTTGAAATTTGAAATCTAGAGTAAGCCAACTTGTACCTATAATCTGAAGGTTTTTGAATAAAACCACTGGCTTCATACCTAATAGCAAAACCAATAAAAATTTACATAAAATAATCACATTGTGTTAGGAATCTCATTTTAATTCTTTGGGGAAGATTTAAAAGTCAAAATTTTAAAATATTGGTTTATTTTTGTTTCTCCTATGATTAGTCTTGGGCTTGATCAAAATAGCCAAATCCAATAGTCGTAACAGTAGCAGCCACGGTTGTTCTCTGTGGTTCTCAGGGAGCTTTGTTGAACATGACATTGCATCAGAAACACTGGACAGGGATTTTCTAAATACAAATTCCTGGGCCTGTCTGAGACCCACAAACTCTGGTTGGTTTCATTGCTGAAATACACTTTTAACAGTGTAATTTCTTAAATACATTACAGTTGAAAATCTCTGACTTAAAATATGTTCACAAAATTAAGGTTAATTTAGTAGATAATACCTCACTGAAGTTTTAAAAGAGACAGCAGTACTTTTCTTACAAGACATCATTTCTACTTTTAAGTAATTTTTGACTTTTTAAAGTTTCTACGAGAATTTAATAACTATGTTTATTTAACTCCAAGGTAAATGGATTAAATATAATATGGTATAATAGTTTTCTAAATAAATAATTATTGTTTGCGAATTACTCTAAGGGTCTAAGAAGCATGTCAATTTAAATCTGTAGCATATGAAATTTAACCTCATGATAATATTATTACAATTTAATAGTAAATCTAAAATTTATTTTAAGTTGTTGAAACTGGGAAATAATAAATTTCTAAAGACTAAAATTTATTTCTAAACAGAAGAATATTAATGACAAAAATTGGGAGGTTATTGGCATGTTTGATTTAAACATTTTAGAATAGGTAGAAAAGTTTCAAAGTAGAGAAAAGAAATGCCATTGTACTAAGATTTTAAACTTTTTTGTCAGGTAATCACCAGTTTCTCATACTAAAAAAGGTAAAATATTCTGAGCTAAGAGGCAGGCTTGGACAAAATTTTATTCAACTCCCTGATAAAATATTTTTTGCAAGTGATGTTGTTGCTGTTGTAGATACGGTTACAGAGCATAAATTCTGGAGACGAGTTTCACATACCTGTTCAGCGATGGTTGGCACAAGACCAAGAGGATGGGGACATCTGCCGAGAGCTTCCTCTTTTAACTAAAGGCCAGCCCATCCTTCCAGGTAGGAAGATCCAACGAGGGGCAGTACGAATACAGCTTGTTTTCCTGCATGCTGTAAAACAGGCAACTGTATGAGTGATTAAGGACCACTGGTTCCTTTCAGTTACTTCCGGTGGTTTAGTGGCTGCATCTATATGTTTTTCAATCATTCCACGTGGTGGTTTTTAGGGATATGTTCTTGTCATAGTCCTGTAGGAAGATCAACTGAAATGCTTCTCAGTCAGAACAGTAAGTTAGTTCTTTGAAGGTCAGGAGAAAATTGAGTGTCAAATTAAGTAAAAGGCTAAGAAATGCAAGTTAATGTGTACTTTTCCTGCCAGGCTCTCCCTTAGTTTTGAAAATTTATCTCTTTGATCATGAACTGAAACCATGACTCTTCAGTCCCTTTCTAAATGTGTGGCCGGAAGCAGAGAATGTTCAAGTCTTATTGTAAATGTAGCTGAGAACGGGCTCTTGACTTACTCAGGGTTAGACAGTAACTGTTCATCACCGTATGAACTCAGTGAACTTGTCTGTAACAGCTGTTGCTCTTGAGTCTAATAATCTCTAATTTGGAAGACTATAGGAAAAGATTATATGAGAATTATTAAATGGACAACTGGTAAAAATAACTTCTTACCCAGTCCAGCCTGTGTTCTACCCTAATGTCATGTATTAGTTTTTAAGAAAACAATAATGAAAATACTGTCTGAAGATAGAGAAGATCTCCACAGTGTCATAAGATATAACACTAAGCTAGGTACATACCAATTTATACATTTTTTTGAGGGAACACAGTCTGGTAAAACATTTTCACAGACTGATAATCATTGTGTTTTATGTCCCTCCCCCTGGTACCGGGAATCGAACTCACAACCTTGCGCTTGCCAAGCAGGTGCTGTGCCGCTGAACTAAATCCCTAGCCCTATCCTTTTGTGTTTTTAAAATAAGGTATGCTAACAACTCTTTAAGTTTTTGAGGCTGTGACCTCATTCAGAAGACATAAATAGCCCTACTCAGAAAGAGCGAGGCTTGAGTGAGCGCTGTTCTCACCGTGTGGACGTTTCCCACCACCGGCCGGCGTTGTTCTTACCGCTGTTCCTCATCAGCTCTCACAGGTGCTCTGTTCCTGCTCGTCGTTAGGAATGACGCAGAGGCCGCTTTTAGTTTTTCCTTCCCCCATTTTAACTACAAAATTCTTATAAAAAGAGGCGTGCTCTGTAAATGAACGCTGGCTTTCTTTGCCATGCCTGTGGTGCTTGGCACTTACCATAAAAAATTTCTCTTTTCCGTCTCTCTACATGGCTTGGTAGTCTAGCCATAAACTGTCCCGTGCGACCTGTAAACTCGGTAAGGCTTTGGATGTCTAGGTCAGGGGTGGGTGCAGTGAATGGTAACTGACCCTAGCCATACTTTTAAATAGCATTGTAGTAATGATTGATTTTTTGTCTGAAATGATGCCATTACAGTCAAGCAGCAGTCTTCCCTAGAAGTACATATTAGAGGCAGTCTGAGGATACAAAGCAAGAAAACATTAACTGTAACTACATAAAACTGAAAACTACACGAACTGTATTTTGTTTTTTTCAGTCCGTAAAGAGTGTTAGTCATGCAAGGCAAAAGGAATTCTAAGTAGTGCACTGGTTTACCAACATACTACTGTGTATACCTGAAAAAATATTGGTAATTACGGAATTTTTTTTCACGAAGAGGGTGAGTTGTTAAGAAAACTGAGCAAAAGTGGCATCTCCAAAGTTTTGTGAGCTAATTTTTAGTTTTTATTGTGGTGACTAGCACAACCATTCAATTTGTCCTCTTAAACATTTTTAACCATACTATTCAGTAGTGTTAAATGTATTCACATTGTTCTACAAAATGTTTTTTTCTTGGAATTTTATGTCTTAGATTTTGGTCTTTAATCCATTTTGAGTTAATATCTATACATGATATATGAGATGTGATTTAAAAACCAGGTGAATCGTTAAAAATTGCTATATTAAAGATACATTGCCATTAATAGCCCTCACTTCAAACATTCTTGCCACTTTCTGAAGCAGCTGTGGAAGTCTTCTGTGTCTTTAGCTACAGTATCATGGCTGAATTGATTCAAAACATTACCCGCTCATGGTCATTTTGACTTGGGGAAAAGCCAGGAGTGTCGGAGTACCGGATCTGGTAAATCAGATGGGCAGGGACACGTCACAGTGTTTTTATGAGCCTTCCTTTCTGTTGGAGGCGGTTGGCAGCAGCACCCGCCATAGCTGTCATCACACCTCCTAAAGACATCCATGAAAGAGGACTTCCAGAGCTGGCTGAGAAAGCAGCAAAGAACACCAGGAGAGGTGAGGGGGAGGATTTGAGAAGAATGAATGGCAATGTGGCTTCACTGTGATACATTTTTAAGATTTGAACATTTACCATGTGTTGGCCTTGCCTTGTAAGATAAGGGTCTGGTGTAAAGTTTCGCAGGTAGACATCCAGTTTGTCTAACACAGTTTGTTGAAGAAACTACCCAGTCTTCATTGTGTGGTGTTGACACCGCTGCTGAAATTATTTGGCCATGCCCCTGTCCTGGAAGGTTTATTTTTGGGCTCTCTGTTCTGCTCTACTGGGTTATGTGTCTTTATGCTGATACTACTGGGCTTTCTTTCAAGATTATTTTGGCATTCCATATGTATATTAGAATAGTTTTTAAAAATTTCTGTTAAAAATGTTGGGATTATGATAGAGATTATATTGAATCTGTAGGTCACTTTGGGTATTGTGGATATTTTAACAGTGTAGTTCATAAATGAAGGATGTCCTTTAATTATTTTTATCTTCTTTAATGCTTTTACTGGTATTTTTAACTTTTCAGTGTACATGCCTATAATTATTGACTTGATTAAATTTAATTGCAAGTACAATACATTTTCAGGCTATCATTATTATGCTTATTTTCTTAATTTCCTTTTTGTATCATTTACTGTTAGCATTCAGTAATGCAACCTTGTGTAGTGTTGGTTTTGTTGTTTTAACAATTCACCTTGTGCATGAGTCCTTAGGGTTTTCTACATGCCATTAGCAAACAGGTGATTTTAGTTTTTCTGATTTAAATGTCTTCTTTTTTTTTTTTTTTTGGTTTTTTTCCGGTACTGGGAACCGAACTCACGACCTTGCGCATGCCAGGCAGGCGCTTTTGCCGCTGAGCTAAATCCCCAGCCCCCTAAATGTCTTCTTTAAATATTATTATCTTGTCTCACTGCTTGTGTTGTAACTTGTACTACTATGCTGAACTAATGCATCTAGAACAGATACTCTTTTCCTTTTCCTTATCTTAGAGGAAAAACTTTCAGTCTTTTACCACTGAATTTTGTGTTAGCTGGGGGCATTTTATATATAGCCTTTATAATGTTGAAGTGGTTTCCTTCTAAGTCTTTTGAGTTTTTTTTTTAATGAAGGAAGACTATTGAATTTTCAGAATGCTTAATTTTTTTGCACTAATGAGATGGTTACGTGGTGTTTGTCTTTAACTGTATCAGCCCCACTCTCTTGGCCAGTAGAGTTACAGACAGTTAACTCAGTTGTTAAAGACAACCCTGTTGGCCGCACTCTGTTGAAGCTAAAGCTTTCTCACCATCAGAGTCGATTCCTGGTTACTCTTATTTCCTGCGACTAAGGAAGATGTAAGAAAATAGATAAATGTGGCAGGAGGAGGCAGAGTATCTTTACCTTCTCTACGTATTAGGAGTTTCCTTTCTTGCAACCTGAGCCAGAACTAGAGGGCTTCTTTTGAATCCTCTGTGTCTCTGTTCTAGAGCCTGTTTGCAGGTTTTTCACGCAAGTCCATGCTCAGGGATCATGGAAGAAAAATGGTAAAATTACTGATGTTTGGTGTTACTTTTAATTCTGGTCGTCTTCCCCTAGTCTTCCTGCTGTGTTCAGTTCAGAGTCCTCATCCAGGTGCTCCATTCCTTCTGTTAAGGTTTTACAGGCGTGTTCAGTGGCAGTGACTGTGTGGTGTGTGTTACTGTATCTTACCTGGAACTGGAACACTTTCTTAGATTTACGTGTTTCATTTTCTATCGCATGAGTAATGTTTGGCAACTAAGGCATATTTCTCTTTTGTTGCTAGTGACGGTATACGAAGTATGTGTGGCAACCGGTGAGCTATGGAATGCGGGAACAGTAGCAAACGTCTACATTTCTGTCTGCGGGGAAAAGGGAGATACAGGATCCAGACTGCTATTTAGATCAAAGAGTTCCTGTAATTTTTCAAGAGGACAAGTAAGTAAATAAGTCATTTATATGATTTTAAAAATATTTTAATTGTGGTACAAACACATAAACTTGTCATGTAAACCATTTTAACTTGCACATTAAGAAGAATTGTAAGTGTGCTGTTCATAGTGTTAAGTAGACAGACGGCACCTGACTGTGGTTTGACTGACACCTTTCAGCCTTGGGGGAAAAGCAGTGTGAGGGCCAAGTGCTTCGGGGGAAATGGCACCTCGAATCCTGGTCCTGTAAGTTAGCGATGTGCAGTACGAGGCTCCTTCACATGAGCAGCGGCCTTAAGCTTCAGCTCCCAGCCAGCCAAAGGGAACAGATAGCAGCTTCTGTGCAGGGCACTGTCCCGCCCAGCCGTGGTGTTCAGTAGGTCAGGTTAGTGTAAATGCATTCGTAACCTACAATACCTTGAACTTACAGCAGAATTATTGGGGTATAACCCATGACATTGTGAGTCAAGAAGCTCCTGTGCAACAGATATTCAGAACTTTTTCCTCTTTCAGAACTGGAAATCTGTTCAATAACAGCTTTCTACAGCTTCTGTTTCCCCCTTGGTGCAGTCTCTGCTAACTACTGTTCTACCTTCTGTTTCTATGAATTGGGCTACTTTGGGTACCTTACATAAGTGGAGTCATACAGTAATTGTCTTTTTGCGGTTGGCCTTTTTTTACTTGGCATAGCATCCTTAAGATTCATCCATGTTCTGTGTTGCAGGATTTTCTTTTCTTCCTTTTTAAGAGCAATATTTCATTGTGTACATACATTCTGTTGATCAATTCATCCATTAATGAGTATTTAAGTTGCCTCCCCTCTTGGCTGTTGTGAATAAAGCAGCTGTATATATGAGAGTGGTAATATCTCTTTGAAATCATTCTTTCAGTAATTTTGGATATACACTGAGAAATGGGATTGCTAGGTCATATGATAGTTTATTATTTTGAAAGCTACCACATTTTTTTCTGTAGCAGTTGCACCCTTTTATGGTCTCACTAATAATGTATAGGGTTCTATTTTCTCTACATCCTTGCCAAAATTTTTTTGAGATAATAATAAGTAGGTTTGGTTTGCATTTCTCTAATAATTAGTGATGTTGAGCAGTTTTCATATGCTTCTTGGCTATTTGCTTATTGATTACCTTAAGAGACATGTATGTTCGAGCCCTTTGCCTTTAAAATTAAAATTATTTGTTCTTAAATTGGATTATTTGTTCCTTTTGTTGTTTTGTTCCTTTATATATTTTGAATCTTAAAACTTTATGCTTTGAGTCTCTTCTGTTGAAATTCGTACTTGGTTCATCCACTGCCCTCCTGACCTTTCTCCCTGGGCATTTACATCTCTTTGTTGAAGCTCTTATTTTGCTCATTCATTGCTTCTGATCCAACAGCTTTCTGACTTTGAATTCTGTGTTAACTGAATCACTTCCTTTCACTTCATTAGAGTTGATTCCTGATCTATCTTGTTATTTTGTGTGGAATATACTCCTGTTTCTTCACTTTTCCTTTGCTCTCTGTATTGGTGTCTACGCGTTAGGTAGTTCCTCTCCTACTGTTGTCACACTGGCTTCATGTAGGGAGTGAACCTCAGCAAGAAACCTGACCACAGATTAGTGTGTCTCTTAAACCTCTGTGTTTGTCCAAACTGCTTCGGACACACAGTCCCAAGTCTTTGTTTTGGGTAGATCATAAGAAATTAGGCTACACTAAGTCCATCATGGCTGTGAAACAGGTAGGATAGAATCCAGTCCCTCAAGAGATGGGATGCTGAATATGAGGTCTAGTTCCTTCTCTCCACAGGGAGAACCTGGGAGCGGAGTTTATCTCCCGCTCCCTCTACAGTAAGTCCAGGAGAGGATCTGTGGTAAATACCTGCACTGTTAAGACCACACACTTTCAACTCATTGCTTGGCTTTTCGTTACTCCCGGGGGCCTTTCAGCTGTCAGGACCCATTAGCTCTGAGAGGCAGGTGGGGTTACTGGATTCTTGATCCTGTTTCTGCAGCAGGTCAGGGGATAGGGAGGCATGAGCATCCCCATTCTCATCCAGGTACTCAGCGACTACTTGTTGGTTGTTCTGTCGACTCCAAGATGCAAGCTAAAGCTTGACAACAGCCAGGAAAGCTGGGATATTAGGTGTGTAGTCACAGCCCTTTTAGTGAGAAATTGGGAGCTCGTTTCTTTCCTTCTCCTTGTTCTGCCCTGAGCCGGGGGAGAGAGCCAGTGGAAGTGCTTCGGTTGCCCATTTACAACCACCTGCTTGTTCTCTGTGTTTTCAGGATACCAACAAGTGCCTGGTGCTATTTGCTTTTAGGGCTAGGTGGTGTAGCAGTCAGTCCCTTGGGTGAGAATTGTCCAAGTTTGAGTACTTGATGTGTGGACAATGTATTTCCCGGGAGAAGCTGAAGACTTGGTTTTACTGCTGGAGTGAAGAGTAAAAAGAAAAGCAGTCATGGGAAGAATCCCCGTGCTTATCAGGTTCCCAGAAGTTTCCCGATTACCCGTTGGCTCTCAGGCGGTTTATAAGCCTGTCCTTCAGGCAGCGTTTGGGAAACTGTAGTCAAACAGTTTCGGGGAAAAACTAGATGTTAAGTCATTTCTCCTTGCTCACTGCACTGAGTCCAGAGCGACATCTGTGCTGTTCTCTGTGGCCTTGGGATTTGCAGTCAAGTCCCATCTACTCCCAGGTGTAGTTGATTGAGAGCCCAGTCCCTTCGGTGGCAGTTAACGAAGACAGGGCATCATATCTGTGGCCCAGAAACTTAAGTCCTCAGGGGAAACCTGGGAGTTGGGGATCCCTCCTGATTGTTCAGCACTGTCTCCACTGTACGACATGTGACATGAGGGTGTCTCCACCTTTCCTGTCCAATTTGATGGAGATACTATTTTCTTAGTTTCTCAGTAAGTTTTGGGATTTTTCTTCAAAGGAATTGATCTATATGTAGTTATTTATTTCATACATCTGTGAGAATATTAAAAGTACTAAATAGGTTGTAGTAATATCAAAATATTTTCATTGTATATTTTCTCTTTTCCTTAAAGTTTACTATATCATTATAAATAGCATAACTCATAAGTTTCTTTGGTAATATCTTCTGTTATTACATAGAAATATGCAGTATTCTAATAAGTCTGCTTAGTGGATAAAGGGATGATAGTGTTATCTATGAACCTATTCCAACAGTGGGCAGAATTTTTTTGTTGTTATTGTTAATGGTTTTGTTACCCATTATTTATATTCTTTTTAAATTGGAGAATATTAGCAATACAGAATAATGAGATTTATTTCAGTATATTGGTACATGCATATAACATATTTTGATTATTTTCATAAAGAAGAAGAGTGGCTCAAAAGGAAAGTAGTCTAATTACATGTCAAATAAGATGAATTCTAATCCTGGATGTGTGTCTGACCTTTATATTCTGTGGAAAGAGATTTTTTTTTTGTTATGAAGCAGTTTTTGAGGAAAAAATAAAACTTATGTGAAAATGTTTTGAAATGTATGGGACATTATACAACTACAAAAGTTTGTTTCTTGATAATTATTCAGTAGATAATTCTACATTATATAATTTTGTGCATTGAAATCTATAGCATTATCTTAGACTTTTATCAGAAGTATTCTGTGTTCCTCACTTTACCCTTATTTTGAGTATATAAACCATTGCATCACAACCATGGTTCATTTTGCTTTGGTAGCATCTTTAGGACTCCAGATAAAAGTTTAATACTTTTTATATTAATATATTAATAGTGCATTAGAAGCATTACTTTTATATATGGGCCATAAAAATTGCTAAAAATGATTGTATCCTATGATAGACTAGAGTTGTTTACTTTAAAGTGAATTTAAACTTTTAGAATATTTTGTATTTGTTACATTTATGTCATGATTATTTGGAATACATACTTATAGAAAGTCCCCAAATGTATGCTTTCATAACTAAAGACTTACAATAAAAGGAAGAAAGGATATATTTAAAAATTTACTTTATATACCATAAATTATTGTTTTGATCATAATTCTTAATATAGATTTGCTTAATGAACTTCTTTTCATAATCAGTTTTCACTACAATTTAATTTATTCTCTTGGTAGAAATCAGAGTTATAATCTTAGACCTAATTATAGTTTTTTTGTTTGGTTGTAGACTGATACCTTCTTTTTGGAAGCTGTGCACCTTGGAAATTTGTACAAAATTGTTATAGGACATGATGGCCTTGGCCCAGGTAAAGCTTTTCCATAGAATTAATAAGGGTCTAATTCTACTGTCAAGTCTAGAAAATAAAATGAAAAACTTGTGGGAAATGGATACTCAAGTATTGACTATCTGAAATAAAAATATTTTACCCAAATATTTTAAAAAATTTAACTAGATGAATTTTTCTTCATGACTGGCCAAGTGAGCAGTCTGGGATGGGTCTGGAATGCTAGAGAGTAATTTAGAAAAATGGGAAGAGTTTGTGGCAGGTATCAGCATTCTCACACACTAGTGGTGGAGGCAGCAATAATGTCTTCTAGAGGTGATACTCTTTGAAGGCTAGTGACTGTCTGATGGTGGTGTGCCACTGAGGCTGTCTTGGTAGCATGGTCTCAGCTAAATTTCCTGCTATTACTTTGTTGATGCTTCTTTCTGGGTTTCCTGTCCTTCCTACCTGTGAGTAACTCACGTCTTCCTGATCAGTCCATTGTCTGCCACTATATAAAACAGCCTTATGATAAATGGACTCCATTTCACAAAAGACAGAGTTCTAAAGGGCACATAGCAAAGAAGTATAAAAATCAAAAAGCATAAAATAAGATGAAAAAATTTCTTACTAAAAAGTGTCAAAGTGTACTTTTCATGTTGAGCACAAAATTGTACAATATGTAGTGAATATGTGTTTAAACACTAAGAGAATTTAGCAGCTTGACAAAGCTGGTTCAGAGGTGGTTGTAAGAAATTGAAAAATATACACATACAGTCAGTGAAAATGAAAAGAATGATGAATAAGATTGACAAAGTAAAACAATGAGTAACCATCTATAGACAGATATAGGACATGATGATATAAAATGTATCATCATTTAAGATATACCTTTGAGTCCATCTTCTCTCATGGACTAAATTCGTTTATATTTCTACTAGACACAATAATTTACATCTCATTTTTTCAGTGGATAGCTAATTTTGTAAAATCTGGGCTCAAATACGTAGTAAATAGTAAATCAAATACAACTCATAGTAAATATTAAAGTCAAATGCTAACTCGGGAGTCAGAGGATTCTGAGGCACTATTTTTAAATAGTGTCCTATAGTACAACATTGAAACTACATGTAGTCTTTTTTTTTTTTTTTGCTTTATTTCTGAGTTTTTGTTAATTTTACTAAACAAGACAAAAATTCTCAGCCTGAAAAATTCTGCATTTCCAACTACATGTTCTATGTAGAGATATATTTAAAATAAATGACTCAGTAATATTAACAGTCAAAGTTTAGTGATATATGAGGGATAGGTAGATAAAAAGACAAAAGGTTTTAGAGATGATCTTACAAGACAAAGTAAAATTCAAGGAAACAAGAGGTACAGGAGGGTAATTAATAGGTATGGGAAGGGTAATTTCCTTATGACAGCCCTTGTGATTCACAGAGAGATTGTAATAAGCAGTTATTCAAGACAGAACATTACAACCGAATAGATGAAGTAAAATCCTCTTAGGTAGTCAAAAAGAAATGCAGTGAAGATAGAATCTGATTCAATCATGTATCTCAGATGTTGGCAGATGACCCAGGGACATCACTTACTTCTGTGAAACATTTGTGCTGTGTAGACAGAGAGACACCTGCACTCTAAAGCTTCATGAGGCACTTTTATAACGCCCTGGGCCAAAATGAAAATCTTGATGTGTGATGCAGCCAAGGGGGCTCTTACCTAATTCAGAGCCATGGTGTTTGGACCTTTAGTCTGTACAACTGCAAGCTACATAGTTTTTCTTTTCTGAGTGGAGAGAGAGAGAGAGAGAGAGAGAGAGAGAGAGAAACTCAAGTAAATATCTAAAAAAGGGCCATGTTCTTGCATCACAATTTAATGATACCAAAATTTAATAAAAATGACACTAGTAAAAAAAAGTGCAGTCACTGAGGTAAGTTCAGTTCTCTCTATAATATTGGGTCAAAACAAAAATCAGAAAGTGTGGTGGAAATTCTGCATCCTTCTTTGACCTTTGGTGTTCAGCAGCCTGGAAACTCTGCATTCTGTCACCTTGGCTTGTTAGGGGTGAAGACTTCATTACATTTATGTGATCACTTAAATTACGGATGGTTGACTCAACTTGCAAACCCTTTCCCTGGAAGTTCAGAGGTAAACTTGGGGTTCTCTGGGAGTAGCCCCTATCCTAGAACCTCCTGCCACCAGTCATCTCATTAGCACACCAAAGACAGAACTTTGGGGATTCCAAGGATTTTAGGACTGTGTGTCAAGAATTAGGGAAGAAGACTGGAGTATAATTTCTTATAATGAATCACAGTACTATAAGTAACATTTAAAAAGCTAGAATAAATAAATGAACTAAACATTCAAAAGTATACCATATGTAAGAAACAAGGAAATACTGAGAAAATGTGTGAAAGAAAACAACAAAGATAAAAATAGAAATCAAAGATAAAAAATTGAAGAACAGAATTAATAAGGAAGTGTTCTTAGAGGGAACAAGTTTACCCATATTCAATTGGACATTGAAATGTCTAAAAAAAAAGAAAAAGAAAATAAATGACCAACATTTGACTGAAAAATTGAATATAACTACAAATATACAGGAGATAGAAGCTTTGAGACCACTATATTCAATTAAAAATGAATAAAAGAAATAAGAGAATTAGTGAAATGATTAGATGTAAATCACTATATAAAGACTACTATATATAACTAAAAATGAATAAGAGAAATAAGAAAATTAGTGAAGTGATTAGATGCAAATCACTCTGTAAAGACTACTTCACATATTAGCAGTATTCCATAGAAAATATAAGGTAAACATCTTTGAGTAGCTTTGTAGCAGAAGAGTTGACATTAACAGTAATAAATGTAGGCCCATTTGTATTATTATAATGGCCTTGTCTGAAAGCCATTTTAAAAAGTGCTAGAGGTTCTAGACGAGCAAGTTTGACTTACAGGCTTTAATGTTTTATTGGATTAAGTGGATCTGTTTGTTCTATAGTGATTTATTTAGCAGTGATCGCGGCTGGCTCTGTAGTTGCGCTTGCACTGGTGCTCCAGAGGCGTTGATGGTTGGGCAAGAGAGGTGCAGGTTCTGTGTTTGCACATACTCAGCCCCTAGCTGCTGATTTCTGTGATACGTGCAGTAAAAGGACTTCAGCATTTTGGTAAACAAAATTGTATCTAGATCTGCGCTCTTGACAAAAATAATTTCATGCAAGATCCTAGACTCTAATAAAAAGGGATTGCTGTACTTGTTTCTTTGTAGAAGGATGCTTGGTTGCATAAAAATCAGTTGGAACATCACAAGGGGACAAATATGAGAATTATAATGAGGTAGTGACATTAATGTAAAGTTATACATGATAGTTTTTATTGAGGAGAAAATAATCTGAAATGCAGAGCAATAAAACTCACCCTCAAAATGAGTCCTGAGATGGGTAATGGCCTTTCTTTTTCTATCTTTAAGTAAACTAGTCACAAAAGACCACATAGTATGTGATTCTATTTGTATGAAAGGTCTAGGAATGGAAAGTTCATTAAAGTCTGAAAGTATATTAGCGCTTCCTTATACCTGGGAGAGGGAAGTGGAGAGAGATATGAATAGGTGCAGAATTTCTTTTGGGGATGATGAAATGTGTGCTGAATTCGGGTATAGTGATAGCTGTACAACTTTATAAAGATTGTATAGACCATTAAATGTATTTAAAGAGGTAAACTTTATGGTCTGTAAATTATTTCTCAATAAAACTGTTCAAATGATTCTATCCATCTGGAAAAATCCAAAGGATATAATAGCCAATAATCTTTGAAAAGATTAACAGGGAAGATTCTCATGTTAAAATGCACTAAAGGTGACAACTTTTATATATAGTGTTCTGGTTTGTGTCTAGATATCCCCTTAAAGCCTCATGTGATCAAAGTTTTTTTCTGTAGAGGTGGCTGAATTAGAGTGTGTGATTGATTCATGGTGCAGTGCTGGGATTAAGGGCCATGCCTCTGAGGAAACAAGCTAAAAAGGGAGTCACGGTATTGTCAGGGGTGATTGAATCAGACTAGGAAGGGGAAGTTGCACAAGTACTCCACAGTGGAGGAAAGGAAGAATGTAGTGCAGTTCAGAATATCCCTTAGGGCACCTCTTAGTATTAGCATGCCCTGTTATTAAAGTCAGCGGCAAATTACAGCAGCCTAATCCAGGCAGAATGACAAATGGTCCAGAGCTTCAGGGATGAAGGTATGGGCTACTCCACCAGGGAAAGAACCAACACCTGAGTTGCTATCTGTAAACTGGTTTAAAACAATGGATCTAGTTGCCAAATTGATAAGGGGTGGATTATAATGATTGATTGACTGTGTCAATTTGAGAAGTTTAGAAGTTTAACTAAGTTGGCTCAGCAATTCTTAGTGGCTCATCTGCACCCTAGGGCATAGAGGACCCTTCCTAGGGAGGCTTGTTGCTTGGACATATAAAGGAGAAATGAGGAAGGGTGGACTTGCTTCTGTTCTTTGGAGAGCTCTAGTCTGTGCCTTCAGATTGGATGTCATCTCCTGGTTTCTAGTGCAGACTCTTCAGCTTCTGCCTGGGATCCTTCAGCCTTCTGGTGTGGACTCTTCAGCTTTCCATCTTAGATCTTCGGATTTCCATAGCAGACCCATCGGGCTCCTGATACAGACTTGCACAGGACACTGCTGTGAACTCCAGGCTTTGGGCTAAAACCTTCAGTCTCCAGTGTGTAGACACCCTCTGCACGCTTCCTCATCCAACTCTGTGGCTGATCATCATAAGCCAATCTTGTAATTTCTTATATATTAGTATATCTTGTGTTATATATGTTTCGCTAGGAAACACTGACTGATATAGAATTTGGTACCAGAGAAGTGGAGTCATTGCTGTGATCATACCAGACTGTGTGGTTAAGGAACCTTTGGGAATGGCTGTGGGAAGAGTTTGGAAAGGTTCAGAGAACCAGCTGAAAAAGTAGAGCTGGAATGGCTTAGGCAGTTTGGTAAGGGAGATTCTGGTCAAAGCTCAGAAGACCAGAAGGCTGTTAGAAATCCTGTAGGTAAAGACCAGGCTCCAGAGTTTTCTGCTGGGAAGAAGGACTGCATTGGCTGTTAGACTCCAGATGATGTGTGTTATGGCTTGGCAGAAAGTTTCTCTGCCTTTTGTTTGTGTACAGAAACTGCCTGAGTCTAAGATTAAGGGCAGCAGACTAATTAATCTTGCAGGAGAAATTTCAAGACAGTCCAATGTTGAGGCTGTGGTATGGCTGCTGTTGGGGCTTTTAGCCAGATATATGTTGAAATCAAGAGCAAAGAGGCCAGAACACTGATTTAGAATGTTTTGAGTTTGGCCAGAAAGGAAGCCCTAGAAAGCTGTGTAATGGGAACAGAGAATATCTTAATTTCTGAGAATGAACAGAACAGAAAAGGTGGCCTGAAGGCATCACAAGAAGCAGCAGGACTCCACCCATTGCAGCCTCAAAGTGGCAACAGTGAAGGACTTTGCTTTGAGAAGAAAGACTTTGCTTTGCCAGAGCATCATGTTCCAGAATGGTGATGGCCCCACCATGTTCCAGAATGGTGGCAGCCTAGTGAATTTGTTCCTTGGAATTAGACAGAGATCCAAGCCTGGCTACTGCTCCAGCTGGTAGCAGACCTTTGCATCATCCATATAGCACTGGTTTTATGTGCATGCAGAATGGAAGAGTTGTGGGGTCAGGAAGACTTCCATCCAGATTTGAGAAGGCTGAGAGGCCAGGCAGTGTGCCCCTGAGGGTAGTGTGTGAAGCCGTGAGTGTGAAGCCAGAGGTGCAGTGGAGACCCTAGAAGTTTGGAGAAGCCAAGAATGTGCATCTTCTGGGCAAAACTGCAAGGAGGGAGCAGAGTGGGCCCAAGAGAGAAGCCATGGGAGGTACAACCACTGGAAGTGTCATAGGGGCTGAGCCACTCAAGCCCTCTGGAATTCATATGTTGCTACAGATTGCCTCAGATCCTGCATATATAACTATAGGACTTAATGTTTGCCCTCTTGGATTTTGGACTTGCTTGGGTCTCATTCATTTGTATGCCCCTGTTTGTGACTTTTGGAATAGAAATGTCTATCTTGTGCCATTGAGTGATGGAAGTATTTACCTTTCTTTTCATTTGTACAGTGGCTCACAGCTAAGAGTTTTCCTTAGCTCATAAGTCCTTTCTCAGAGGAGACTTTGGTCTTAGACTTCTCAGCAGTGCTGAAATTGTTAGGACCTTGGCAACTCTTGGAGATGGACTAAATGCCATTTGCAAAAGGGATGTACATGAGTCTTTGGGGGGCCAGGGGCAGAATGTTATGGTTTGTGTCTAAATGGCTCCCCAAAGCATCATGCAGTCATAGGGATTTTTCTTCAAAGGTGGCTGAATTAGAGTGTGTGGTTGTGCAACACTGGGATTACGGGTGCTGGGATTAGGGTGGGTGATTGCTGGATCAGTGCACTGATTGGATTGGCACTGCCCGACTGAGTACAATATAAGGGACAGAAAGAGGCTTGTCTCTCTCTTTTGCTGTTAGTGCTTTTGCTGTTTTCTGCCACCATGAACTGTTGCCCTGCTGCCCTGTGCCACCCTATCTTGGAGCCAGCCAATTATGGACTAAAACCTCTACAAACTGTGAGCTAAATAATCCTTCCCTCCTTTAACTTGTGGGTGTTGGGTATTTTGTCTGAGCAATGACAGAAAAGTAGCTAAGACACACAATTTGGTGAAAATCATAGTGATAGGCAGACAGTTAAGTGAGTGATACAGAATAAGGCCTGAACCAGATTGTAAGTGGATTTAATGCAAGTATAAGCAGTGAATATTAAAAATCTATTCAAAATGAGAAAAAAATAGTTCCATAAAGTTTGAAGAAATACTTAAAATTTTATCAACTTGAAGCTACATTTTAATTAAACTTCTAATTTTGAAGTAATTATATATTCAGATAAAGTTGTATGAAACAATGCAGAGAGAGTCTCTTTTCATTTCCTCAGTGGTCACATCTTGCAGAGCTAGTATGACACTGATACAGTTAGGACACAAATGTATACCATCACTATTATGTTCCCTCCTGTTATACTTTTATAGCCACCTCCAAGCCCCTTCCCCTCTTGGTGCTCTAGTCCCTTGTGCTTAACTTCTGGCAACCACTAATCTACACTACATTTGTAAAATTTCTCACCTTAGAGTTATATCAGTGGAATTATACATTATGTAATCTGATGGGGTTGATCTTTTTCTCTGTATAATTTCCTAGAGATTTATTTACATTGTTTGTGTCAGTAGTTGATTCTTTTTTTTTTTTTTTGCTTTTTGTACTTTGTGGTGTGGATTTCCCTCAGTTTAATCATTTACCAATTGAAGGCTGCCTGGATTGCTGCCAATCTGAGCTGTGATGAATAAAGCAAATCAAGCAGCCAAGACCAAATTATGTGGAGTTGGGTGGGTTGGGAGAGAACTCTAACCCTGTAATGAAATATTCTGTCATTAATGTTATTTAGGGGAAGGGAAAGTAAAAAGGATTAAGATACAATATGTATATGTATCAGTTCCCCACAGTGAATGTATTATGTATTGTAAGCATTTACTAGTAAAAAATTGCAAAAACCTGTTACTTAGTGTTATTTTAAAATAACACATAATTTGACTCAATAACTCTACTTCCAGAAAGCTATCCCAAATAATTGAGAAATGTAAGTAAAGTGCATATTCAAAGTTGTGGCTGTATTATGTGTAATACAAAAAATCCCTAATTTGTAACAGGAAATATATTTTATGTAGAACATCAATCTAGATAGATATTATAAAACCTGAAAAGCTGGGGCTGGGAATTTAGCTCTGGAGCATAGCACCTACCTGGCAAGTGCAAAGTCATGAGTTTGATTCCCGGTACCGGAAAAAAACCAAAACCAAAACCAAAAAACCCCCAAAATCCATGTGAAGTATATTTAGGAAAAATGTGGAAGTACAGTACTCAAATATAAATGTGAGACAAACAGAGAAGATACATGTTTTGGGCAATTAATGCTGTAATAAATGACCCCAAAATCTGAGCGGCTCCACCCAGCTCGCGTTTACTTTGTTCTCACACAGCAGCCTCACACACGCTGGAAAGTGGCCCTGGCATTGTTCTTCACGCAGTTAATCGGGGACCAGGGCCTGGCTAGGGAGTGGCTGCTTCAGGGGCCCTGTGGCTTCCAAGGCCACCATAGCACAGAGGTTGACAGAGACTCTCGGTAGGAGGGGTTAAGACCTACAAGTGGCGGGTCATTTTTGTTTCCTTCCACTGTGAAGAAACGGGTCATAGGGGCTCTACCTGCCTTCAGGGGGACTGAGAAGTGTAGTTCTCTTTTATAACAAGAAGCAGTAGGCACACATGTTGTATCTGCCATGTAGGGTGCTGATTCTTTGCATGTTAGGATCCAGTTTGATTACATACAGACATATGTATCACGAAGAGTACAGTCATAGAACAAGGTTGAAAGTATGTAAACCAGAAGTAACCAGATTTTCTTCGTAGGCACTGAAATTTTACATTATTTCAGTGTCTTTTTTGTTCATCTTCTTAGGCCCAACCCAATACAATATAAATATTCCATTAAGTAACAAATTATGTTTTCAGTAATATAAAGCTGCTTATTCTACACATTATGTAAGAAAATAACACATTCAGAATTTAATGTTAACTCTTTGACTCTTATTCTTCCTGCCAAATTCCTACAGAGGTCGCTTGGCTTTCCTTAGGACCCCCTGCCTCCACTTCAGGGATTCTTTCCAGCTCTAATTCAGAAACTCTCCCGTAGGGGAAAAGCATGCTGAAAATGTAGACAATGTGTATTTATACAGATACTTTTATACTAACTTAGTAAGTAACAAAATTATTGTCTTTGAAAAATCAAATTCCTCATTACCTCCAAGAGTTTATGGGCTTTTCAAACCCATTTCAGAATTCTGGCAACATTTTATTTCCCTTAAAGAATACAAGTAATGTTTTTTGGTAGCACATAAAATGAAATTAAATAAAAACATTTTGAGAGATGACATTCTAGCAGAGGAATCAGCATGTTTAAGTGTATACTTTTGTGAGTGTCAATCATTTGTGGCAGTGGTTTTCAGAGTGTGGTTTCTAGAGCATCAGCATGGTCTGAGAACTTATTAAAAATTCAGTTCTTAGGACCCGTTGTAGGAAGGCTAACTACCCTGGTTTGCCTTTGTCTATTCTATTTTTAGCACTAAAAACCCACACACTGGAAAATTCCTCTTTTCTGTGCAAATTAGGGCAATCAATCATCCCAGCCTGCTTATCCCAGGCCTGCTGAATCAGAAACCCTTGCTGTGGGCCCAGCAGTCTGCATTTTTATAACCCCCTGGTGATTCAGTTGCAGGCTAAAGTTTGAGAACAGCTGATGCTGGGTGTCTTACTTATTGATAAGACATCCAGTTTTATCAATAAATGAGATAAAATTGTACTTTAACTAAACCCAGTTTGCACATTTATATAAAAATAAATATTTCAAAAGAAATCAATGCCTTCATGGTTACTATCCCTTACCTGTCTGTGGACTTTAACGAGACTTCTGAATAACTCATTTTTAGCCAGTGAATACGTACATATTTTGTGTATACAGTCATCACCCAAATATGAACTTGAATACTTTTCTGGAAATACAAAGTATTACCAACTCATCAGATATATATTCTTTGGAAGCTGCTAGGTCCAGGAGCATGAATACAGTTTATGAAATCAAGACCAACACTGCAGATTTATTCTGTTTTCGTTTGGAAAATGTATTGAAATCAAAATACAAAGTGTGAAGCTTTATGTTAATGCTGTGCTTTTGTTACATGCATAAGAAATGTTTAAATGTTTCTTACAGTTAATGTTATAATTTGCTTTCTTTGAAAACTGTACATATATTTGGAAGTAAGAACCTGCATCTCAAAACTGAAAATCCCCGGACCATGTATATTCATATCCCATTTTCCTTTCTGTAATTTTCTCTAGGAAATGGGTGGTTTCTTGGTGATGTTGTGGTCCGGGATCCCACCACGAGTGACGAGTACGCCTTCTTCTGTCACAGGTTGGTGGGTGTGTTTCTAGATTGAGCAAATTCATTGCACATTAGTTCCAAGCTCATGTGTTTTTGCATACTAGGTAGCTTATTCAGTTATTCCTGGTAATTGATGCTTTGTTATATAACTTTTATGACCCTGAATCTTAGGGGCTGCTTCTGCTATGCAGAAATCCACCATGCATATCATTATTCCTGATGACATAAATTTAATATTCATTGGTAAATTAAAGTTCCAAATTAGATTTAAAAATAATAAATGTGCATGACAATTGTTGTGTATGGCTTCTTAAGTAACCATGACATTGCTGACCCACTGTCAGTAGGCCTTAATTTTCAAGTTATTTTGCCAGTAATGGGAATAGATCTGCTCTCTCTCTCACTTTTTTGCATCTTTCCTTATGGAACCAATTCTAGCCATTTATGAAGTAATCAACTGGAGTTTGATCTAGTTAGTTGTCAAATAAGGGGATAAAATATTGATCCATCATTGGTAAGACCTATGACCTTTGCAGTTAGCAGGCTAACAGAGTGACTAACTCACACGTGAAGTAGAGAAACATTTGATCCTCAGCAAATACCAGCTTCTTCTTCCTCTTTCCCCCACCTGTGCCACTTACAGTCATTTTAGGATTTCATTTTCCATTCTGTACCAGTTTTTTTAATCAACTGGTATCTATTGTCTTTCCGATTTCTACTATTGATTATTTCTGCACGGATAGGTAATTGCTGAAAGTTTGGGTAAATATAAAGCCTGAAAAGAATTGAGACATTTTTCTTTCCACAGATGGCTTGATGAAGGGGAAGATGATGGCAAAATTGTGAGAGAACTGTATGCCAAGGGTAACAGTATCTTCTCTGCGAGTGAGTGTCATGTACACACATTGCTTGGACAGCTATGTTTAAGATGACTGAAGAAAGCATGGCACTCTTGAAAGTAACGGTCCGCTCTTTGCTTTATCTTCTCAGGGCAGAAGCTAGAACTTCAGAGAAAAGAAACAGTAAGATTTTTCTTTGGGCTTTAAATTATTTAATACAAACAATGTTCAAATAGCTATTTGATGTGTTAAAACAAAACAGTACATAATGTTTCATGAGGGATGTTTCTTAGTAATTTCTTCTCGATGTATTCTCATACAGCACTTTCCTGTTTCATTTTAGTGGGCTGCAGAGAGCTGGAAGTTTGTGAAAGGAAATACTGTCCAGTTCTACAGCAGGCTGACCAGGGGGTTTGTTCGTCTGCATCCCGATGGCACAGTTGATGCTAATGGAGAAAAGACAGATAAATATGGTAAAGTGAGGCAACAGAGTATGTGGAGCCACGCAGGTCTGGGGGCTACAGGAGGGTGGATTTCTAGGCACAGCCTAATTTGTAGTTTTTCTCCTTTTTCGTCTGGCTTGACAGTTGGATTAGGCCGTTCAAATAATCATCATCTTCCTTAATACTCAATAATCAGTAATCAATAAGCAACAGGTTTAAATGTGGATAGATGTTATTATGTAGAAGGGTGCCCCATGAAAAAATTTGGTTGGTATTATTTCAAGAATAAAACATAGGCAATTAAAATAATTCATGAAATGCAGCAGTGTGGCTCTTGAATAATGACTATTTAAGGATTTAAGTCAGTTCCTCCAAATATTGAGTGCCTGTTCTCTTCAAAATAGTTTGAAATCCACAGAAATAATGAAGATATTGCCTTGAATTTCAGAGATTCATAATTTAACAAAGAAGACAAACAATAAATGCAATAATTCTAATAATGGCTGTTTGTAGTTAATATCTCAATAAGGTACATAGGAAAAACCAAGCAAAGAAAAACTTGATGTTTAATATCAGCATATATAGAACCATAAGAATGGACAAAGAAGGAATAAACTGATTTTTAAAACTATAAACCCAGACTTCCAATTCTTTAAAATTTGGAACTTCACTGTTTTAAGTAAAAAATTCCTGCTCTATGTATGAATGCAACTTTGCTACTCTTTTTTAAGAAGCAGTGCTCTTCCTGTGCAGTGTTGGAGATGCTAATCTGTAGCACATCTGAAACTCTCCCTCCTCCGTCTCACATTCGAGATCCCAGGGAACAAAACAGTTTTCTGCCCTATGAAATAAGTAGTCTTCTACAAATACTTCTAAATAGCTCCTGCTTCCAAAATTAATTAGGTCTTAGATAGTTTCTTTAATTACTGGTTCCCACCTGGGATTACTTATCCACTTAGATCACTCAGAATACCCCTTCATGTCCTGTTCCTTGCTGCCAGTGTCTCTTTTCTTATGGGTACCGTAGATTGTATTTGCAACTACAGCACAAACATATCTCCCACTGTTGTCAGAAACTGAGCAGGATCTAAATTTTACCTGCCTTGTAGGAAACATGAGACCACTGGGTTAAGAGATCAAAACTGTTTATGTCTCACATTAAATGTGGCAACCAGGGCAACACACATCTGTGTCGGTTCCTGCAGTTCCCTGAATCTCAATCCACCGTGTCCTGCTACAGGGGTCTGCTACTGGCACGTGCACTGGTTTTGTTAAGGAGGAGAAATTCCCAGATTAGAAAGTCTGATCCTATCTAGGGTTGCCCATTCTTCCTTCCAGAGAATAAGACAAAGATACAGGCACGTGTGTGTGCACGTGCATGCAGACACACACACACACACACACACACACACGGAGTCGGGGGATGAATTAATTTTTATTCTAGAATATAAAGAAATCTCCAAGATGAATGAAAGGGCTTTACCTTACTCCCCTGGAACATACTGAGAGAACAGGCTGCCTTTAACACTGCAGTATCTCTTTAGAAAAATACTTTGTGTCCCTTCAGAGGTATTGGACCACGCACAAACACGAAGAATGATTTTCTTCTAGCACCCTGTCCACAGCCTAGTTTGTAAGGGACCTTGCCACTGCCACATCAAGGTTTGATTGATAGAATGCAGCTGAAACAACACTTTAATTTCCAAGATCTGCATTTTTCTGTCTTCCCTTCTTGGATTAATCCTGCTTGGAATCGGCCTTCCTACCCTGAGGAGACCCGAAGCCATCTGCCCCAGAGGAGCTCAGTCCCTGACAGCCCCAGCTGAGCCCTGGCCGCAGCCGGTCCCCGGGTTTCCGTGTCCAACCAGACTCACTGGTAGGCGATGAAAACAGCGATGCTCTTTGCCTTCACTGCTCCTGGCATCTTAATACACTCCTGCAGTACGTGAGGCGATGAATGGCACCCGGAAAGGCAGGGCCAAGAAAACAGGTGTATTTTTCCTCAGTGGGACTGAGAAAAAGTTTTTTGGTAACAGGAGGTCTTTTATCTGTGATAATTACTTATGGTATTATTTCCTGATGTGTGTGCTTAGTGTCCCATAAATTCACGCTAATAAATCAGCTTTCACATGCCTGGAAAATGTGAATACTGACCTATGGATATTTTTTCTTGGAAGTATTTTGAGAATATATCTCTGAGATATATGGGCTTACAAGTTTTACTTCACAAAGCAGTATTGTTTTTCTCACCATAAGCCAAACCTTCTATTTAGTTATTCAGCTTGTTGTGAATGTAGCTATTTTCATGTTTATAACGTTAGAATGCTCATTTCTCTGCATGCTTTTTCTTGGTGATTTGCCCCTGAGAGAGGAGTGTGTGAAGCTGTGGGAATGAAGGTGAAAATGCAGGGGAAACCCCAGGAAGCTGGAAATGCCAGTAGAAGAAAGCTGTAGGCTGAGAAGATCCAGCCTAAAAGAGAGGTGCAACTGACACGGATAAGATGGGTGGTCCAAGCCTTTTGAAATTCACATCACACAGGACACTGTGTGTCCTGGATGCCAGCCACGGAGCTTTACCACTTACTGTTTGTCCTGCTGGGCTTCGGTCTTGCGTTGCTCCTATCGTTTTCTATCCCTCTGACCCTCCCTTTTGGAAGGGGAGTGTTTACTCCATGCCAGTGTACCCTGGGTGCGTGTAACTTACTTGTGATTTTCACTGGTGTTCATAGCTAAGAGTTCCTTTTGTATCTCAAGGAGACTTTCACATGGTCTTTTGAAAGATGTTGGAATTATTTT